TTTAAATACACACGTGCTCATATTTGAAAGAATTCAAGAAGACCCATCCTTACTGTTTGCTATGCATTCTAACTTACTGTTCTGTTAATTTCTAGTTCATTTATCCAAAAATGTTAATCTAAACTCACTAAATTGGCACACTCATAGGCCTTGATCTATAGTTTGAGAAAGATGAGTTTAAAACACTTTGTTATTTAGTCTCCTACAACTTTTGGAAAGAGTCAAAGGCCATGGGTATTTCTAATTATTTACATTTCTTTTGACTGGCTTTGTTTGGAACTTAATTATTTTATAGCTCTTTGAAGGCATTCTAGTAAAATTGGGATTTGTCTTTGGGAGTTCATTAATTCATTGACTCACTGTGCAGATATTGGAATGACTAGCAATGTCTTTCTCTTATTCGATGTTAAGATAATTGAAAGTAATTTTTGTGAAAAATAGCAATATGAGGTCTCTAAAAGTTGCTTTTAAGCTATTTTTCTGGTAAAATTCACTATGAAAAGAGATGAAGAGCTTAGAGTACAAGTTAAGCTTTTGACTATAAACAGTCTTGCCTACTGATTTACTTGAGGATGTACTTAAAGTTTCTTTAAAACAACCAAAAACCTTAGTGTGATGTCATATTAATAAGCTGAAATATGTTTGATCACTGTTAATAATGCTTTAAACTCAGGCGAATCATAGACCATTATGTCAAATATGTTAAATGAATCCATGGATGGAGAAAAGGCTTAAACACTTAAACTAATAATTTATTCCTTTCTAAGTCAGTGTTCTCTATTCATGGATTCATTTAGCAGATATTAACATATGGTCTGTGAGGTCAGGAATTCTGCCAGTCTTGGTTTATTATATCACAATGGTCTAGTATACTGCCTGGCAAATGTTAGATGTTTATTTTTGCTTGAATTACAGGAAATTACAGGAGACTTGACATTTTGACCACAAATGCAACAATATTATATGGTTCATCACTAATAAGATGAATGAAGTGCTGGAGACACAGTGGATGTGGACATACTCTTCTTGCTCCTGGATTTTACCACATCCTTCTCAGAGACTATTAGTACATTTGCAGAACTTAACTGTGTGCTCCAAAATCAGACTTGGGTCCACCCAAGTCCCTTCATTTCCTAAGTGTGAGATTATGGGCAGGTCACTGCTTCTGTGTCATCTATAAAGTGATGATAATAGTGACTTATTGCAATCTGATAGATTTTGCAGGCTGGTACTCTACACAGTATGCGTCACCTCTCAAACCATCAATCTTCATTCCTGTTAATATTACTAATACTACTTGGTTTGGAACGTGCCAAGCTCTGAGGTATAGACTTTGCTTTCTGTGAGTTGGCAGCTTGGTGAGGGAGATAGAAAAGGCAAACCGTAGGGTATGATGCTAAGTGTCTCTAGCAGTAAGAGTACTCTGGAAGTGGAGAGCAGGGATGCTGCCCCCAGAATGACTAGTAAAGCTTTCTGGGGGAAGCCAATCAGAACCCACAGCTGAGCAAGTGGGACTGAGCCTCCTACTTCCCTCCCAACCCAGGATGGGTGGAAGGTGTGCTGGGAAGCGGAGGAGGTAGCATAAGCAAAGACCTGGGTGTGCGAGAAAATGGCCTCCGAGTAAGAGGGGCATGAGAGAGATGAAGTGGTGTAGGGTTGAGTGGACTGAGTTCAAATCTTAAAGGGCCCAGCTCAAGAACCAGCAGGGGGTGACTTAAGGTTTGCAGGTGAGAAAAGCCCTCCAGAAGTGGTGAGAATGGGTTATGTTGGGATAAGATGAGACCAGCTAAGAGGATAGTACAATAATGGGGAGATGAGTGCCTTGATCACAGGGGTGTCAGTGAAGACAGAACTTTGGGAAGCTTCACATTAAGGGACACAAATTGTCACTTGTCACTTGCAGGGGGGCTTTGAGTACAGTATAAATTCTAAATTGTTAAGTATGCTTTGATCAATTAAGTTTACAATGAAAGGAATGGGGGATGGATGGACTACAAACCAAAGAGCAACGCACACTGAATCTTACAATAAATAGTTTTTATTGCTTGCACATAATACATATCCCACTCTCTGGTATTCTGTGAATATTACTGCATTGTCTTAGTTTACTTGTGATTGAAATTCCCCCCAGTGTCTAACAAAACATAAGTAATCCTGGCCTTAGAGCGGCTAAAGTTCTAGAAATGAAGGTAAGTAGTCACATGACTCAAAACACAACCACATTGCATAGGGAAAGTTATACTCATTACTGAGTTTTTGTAGCTAACTAGGTTAATGAAGAGCTTCTTGCATTTTCATAACCCTGAGACAACGCTGTGTTGTCAGATGTTACACTGTTTCTGGTAGATAAGACTGACTATGGTCATTTACTAAACAAATTAGTGTTTATTAGGTACTAGGTGAAAAGCAGTGGGTGAAAAGATGTTGTTCCTGCTATCACGGAACCTACCTTCTAGAAGATGGAAGGTCTTTTGATGAAGAATGGTAAAACTATTTCAAGTATGTTGTAGTGTACGACGGTAGTGTAGGAAAACTAAGTGTGATGTACATATCATATCGTAATTGTTTCCCCATTTAAGAGATAGTAGAGGAGGAGGACTCTAGGAGTTTAGAACATGACTAAGGCTCAAGCTGTAGTAAATGTTTAATCTAGGTTAACTATTTTATATTTTATCATAATTGATTTATTTTGCCAATCTTACTAGGTTATTACCTCGAATTTATCTCTCAAATGCCATCTACAAGCTTAGTTGGGTAGCCAGGCTACAATCACTGCATTGCCCAAAATGCAGCAGCTGCCGCCTCCTATCTGGTCTACATCTTTTGTCTCTACTAAATCTCTTCTCTACCTTGCAGCAAGACTAAAATTGAGGCTCCTAAATTCGTTTACTATTGCTGCTGTTAAAAGAAAAAAAAGTCCATGAACTGAGTAGCTTAAAGCAACATGAATTGATTAAACTTCTGGAAGTCGGAAGAGTCAGAAGTTTGATGTAAGTTTCACTGGGCTAAAATATAAAAGTGTTGGCAGTGCTATGTTCATTTTGGAAGCTCTAGGGACAATTGCCATTTTCTAGTTTCTGGAGGTCGTTCACGATCCTGGACTTGTGGTCCTCTATCACACTGAGCACTGATTCTGTTAACTCCTCTCCTGTTTTAACTCTTCTGCTTCTTGTTCATGTGTAAGAGCTCCTGTGATTATATTAGACCTACCCAGATAGTCCAGAAGGATTCATCTCAAGATCCTTAAATCACTTCTGTGAAGTTCATCCTGTGTGTAGGGTTATACCTTCACAGGTTTGGGGAATTAGGAGGTGGTCCTCTTTTAGGGGCCTTTCTGTCCTAAAACAATTTGAGGAGGTGAGCATTTTTTTTTAATAGGTGTAAATGTCCTCTCCTGCGTACAGGTTTTTTATGGCTTTCTCTTATAACAGTAAAACCCATAATACGGTCTGAGAGGTTCCCATGGCCTAGCCCAGTCTGGCTCGTGCCTGGACCTTCAGCCTCTTCATAGGCTCTTCTTCCCTTTGCTTACAGGATTTGATTGCAGTGGTTTCCTGGCCCTAAGGACCTTGCCATGGACTTTGCTTACACCAGCCCTTTGTACCCCTTTGCCTTTTTCCCCCCTGCCGCCACTCACCATCTGGATCCTACAGCAAATTCTGCTTCCTTAGGGAGTATCATCTTGGCCTTCCCTGTGCTGGTCACATAGTCCATTTGCTTGCAATCCTGGAGCCTGGCTTTCTTCATAGCGCTTGCTCACAGCTTGTATTTATTCTTTGGTGTTCTTTGATCTGTAAGCCTTGTGAAGGCAGTGTTTATTTTCATTGTGTACTCAATGCTGATCATTGATTCAGTGTGCAATAAATACTTATTAAAGGAATAGACTTAAAATGAAAAGACAGTGTGCCTATAAAGTAGCTTAGTGTTGTACATCTGTGTATTATTGTTGTAGCCACAGGCAGAATGGGGTTTTGGATTATGGAAAGGGTTGATTGAATAACAGAAGATTGGAGTTTAATAATTGAGTAAATCAATTGAATGTTCATATAAATGAAGTTAATTGCACTAAGTAATTTTCAGACCCTTCCATCTCTGTAAAAATGTGCATAAGACTTGAACTATCTAACATGAACATGTAGTATCTCACAGGCTAAGCGTTCTTAAAAAGATTTTTTTTGAAGTTTTATTAAATTTTAAAGTGACCTTTATTCAGAGTTGATAGTATGGGTCAGAGGCAGTTGGCCTGGTTTGGGCCTGTTGGCTCTGGAACATAGAGTTTAATGACATTAAGCTCTGTTAGCACTGGTGTTCAAGAGAAGTCTGCCAAGATGTAATGCAGTTGCCGCTCAGTGCTGTGGACAGTGCAGAGTGATAGGTCGGGAAGTCTTGAGGAAAATGTTGTACAACAGAAAAGTTGCTCAATCCTTTGTATGACTCAATAGGTTAATTCTTTATGTTTTATTACAAAGTTTATCATTTTGAGTCTCTTATATTTATACAATCTTAGTTTCCCTATTTAAGCTATAACATTTCACCTTGATGTAGGCAAAGTTTGTGTTAGATAAGTGATGCAGCTTTTTTTTTTTTTTTTTTTTAGCATTTCAGTGGACTTGAGAGAGAATCAAAACTTTTGGTATTCGAAACTCCTTTGAATTGCTCCTATTCTATTGAACAAAATACTTGGAAAGAATCAATTTAAAGGCCTATTACTGTACTCTTTTTTCTTAATTAACTGATAGTCTAAATCAAACTTAGTCAGGAATCTCTATTTTATAATATCTATATAGATGAAATATTTTATAGTCCATAGTGAAATTATGTTATTAAGTGGAGTATGAAATACTGATGATACTTTACTAGACCTGATAAAATGCATTAAACTGACTTTCAGTTCTCAATATCTCTAAGAAGTTACAGTAGTACTTACTAATTCAGTTTGTTACTAGCTTAACTTGTATAAGGCCCAGTTTATGTTAAATGTATGCACACTTTTCTTCTAGAGTATGTTGGATAAAGGACATTGTTGTAGCAGTAACAGGAGAGAACATGAAAGCAATGAAGTGTATTATTCAGAAGTACCAGCATCAGCGAATCTCCCTGGTTGAAGCTGGAGTGACCCGCCACAGGTCAATTTTCAATGGACTAAAAGCTCTGGCAGAGGACCAGCCTGACTCTAAACTCTCTAAGCCAGAAGTTGTGATAATCCATGATGCTGTGAGACCGTTTGTCGAGGAAGATGTCCTTCTTAAAGTTGTCACAGCTGCTAAGGAACATGGGGTGAGTGGTTAAATTTCCGAAAGTGGATAAAAGGCACAAATGTTATAGCAAATGTTAACTTGCTGGATTTTGATGAGATCATATTTAAATGTCCATTTTTTCTTTTGTTTTTAATTTTTATTTTTTAAATTAAAATGTATTTATTTCAGGGGTACAGGTCTTTGATTCATCAGTCTTAAACAATTCACGGTGCTCACCATAACACATACCCTCCCCAGTGTCCATCACCCAGCCACCCCATCCCTCCCACCTCCCTCCACTCCAGCAACCCTCAGTTTGTTTCCTGAGATTAGGAGTCTCTTATTGTTTGTCTCCCTCTCTGGTTTCATCTTGTTCCCTTTTTTCTTCTTTTCCCCTATGATCCTCTGCCTTGTTTCTCAAATTCCACATATCAGATCATATGATAATTGTCTATGATTGACTTATTTTGCATGGCATAATACCCTCTAATTCCAACCATGTCATTACGAATAAAAGATTTCACTTTTTGATGGCTGCATAATATTCCATTGTATATGTATACCACATCTTCTTTATCCATTCATGTGTTAATGGTAAATGTCTGTTTGACTTAAAGACATAATGCTAAATTTTTTTTAGGAAGCTTGAAGTATTCTATCATGAGACTGTACTAGAATTTATCTTTTCTTATAGTCCTTCATGACATGAGCTTTTTGGAGAAGAATGTAATACTGTTTTCAGAGTATGGCTCTGCATGTACACTGAAGAAATGAGAAGCATTGTGCACTTACCTGAAAATACCTAAGAAAACTCTCAAGTTTAGGAGGCACATAATAATAAAAAGTCTGGCTCATCACACCCGAATTGTGTTTTGACTTTTTGGGAGTGGTTTACTTTCCAGCACAAATAGCTGAATAGGATTTTCACACCGTTTAAAATAGTTTTAAGATGACGCTAAATTCTGTGTTCTAATTCACCAGAAGAACACGGGTTAGCAAAAGTCCTATTATCTGTAGAACGTCTTTGTTTGGTTCTTGTATTACTAGATAAAATCCTAAAAAGTTAAGAGGTTTATAGTCTAAATTTGAGATGAAATGAAAGTTGCTGTACACACTTGGGTACACCATGATAGCAATAGGCTGTGGAGTGGGGCATGTGTAGGCCCAGTTCTCAGGCTTTCTAGTTAGTGGTGTATGTGCAACTTGAGCAACCTCTTCGAGCCCCTTTGCTTTGTAAAAATACAGATGCTAATCCCTGTGGGTTTTTTTAGGGTTGGAAATTAGGTGTTAACTCTTCAGTAGAGGGCTAAGTACTTAAAAATAAAAAGGTATTAAGATGAATTACAACATCTAGGATTGTAGACAAATGGAAGGAGTCCTCTAAGCTTTCTCTGCTATATAGGTGGTGAGTTAAAAAATACCCATCTGGAATGTTGAAAAGCAAAGCTGGCAGCATCACAATTCCGGACTTCCAGCTCTATTACAAAGCTGTAATCATCAAGACAGTTTGGTACTGGCACAAAAACAGACACACAGATCAATGGAACAGAATCGAGAGCCCAGAAATGGACCCTCAACTCTATGGTCAACTAATCTTCGACAAAGCAGGAAAGAATGTCCAATGGCAAAAGACAGTCTCTTCAACAAATGGTGTTGGGAAAATTGGACAGCCACATGCAGAAGAATGAAACTGGACCATTTCCTTACACCACACACAAAAATAGACTCCAAATGGTTGAAAGACCTAAATGTGAGATAGGAATCCATCCAAATCCTAAAGGAGAACACAGGTAGCAACCTCTTCGACCTCAGCCACAGCAACTTCTTCCTAGAAACATCGCCAAAGGCAAGGGAAGCCAGGGCAAAAATGAACTATTGGGACTTCATCAAGATAAGCTTTTGCACAGCAAAAGAAACAGTCCACAAAACCAAAAGACAACCGACAGAATGGGAGAAGATATTTGCAAATGACATATCAGATAAAGGGCTAGTATCCAAAATCTATAAAGAACTTATCAAACTCAACACCCAAAGAACAAATAATCCAATCAAGAAATGGGCAGACGACATGAACAGACATTTTTCCAAAGAAGACATCCAAATGGCCAACAGACACATGAAAAAGTGCTCAACATCACTTGGCATCAGGGAAATCCAAATCAAAACCTCAATGAGATATCACCTCACATCAGTCAGAATGGCTAAAATTAACAAGTCAGGAAACGACAGAAGTTGGCGGGGATGTGGAGAAAGGGGAGCCCTCCTACACTGTTGGTGTGAATGCGAGCTGGTGCAGCCACTTTGGAAAACAGTATGGAGGTTCTTCAAAAAGTTGAAAATAGAGCGACCATACGGTCCAGCAATTGCACTACTGGGTATTTACCCCAAAGATACAAATGTAAGGATCCGAAGGGGTATGTGTACCCTGATGTTTATAGCAGCAATGTCCGCAATAGCCAAACTATGGAAAGAGCCAAGATGTCCATCGACAGATGAATGGATAAAGAAGATGTGGTATATCTACAATGGAATGTTATACAGCCATCAAAAGGAATGAAATCTTCCCATTTGCATCAACATGGATGGAACTGGAGGGTGTTATGCTAAGCAAAATAAGTCAGAGAAAGACATGTATCATATGACCTCACTGATATGAGGAATTAATCTCAGGAAGCAAACTGAGGGTTGCTGGAGTGGTGGGGGGGTGGGAGGGATGGGGGTGGCTGGGTGATAGACATTGGGGAGGGTATGTGCTATGGTGAGCACTGTGAATTGTGTAAGACTGTTGAATCACAGACCTGTACCTCTGAAACAAATATTATATATTAAAAAAAGGAAGGGAAAAATGAATGGGGGAGGAAATCAGAGGGGGAGACGAACCATGATAGACTATGGACTCTGAGAAACAAACTGAGGGTTCTAGAGGTGAGGGGGGTGGGTGATGGGTTAGCCCAGTGATGGGTATTAAGGAGGGCATGTACTGCATGGAGCACTGGGTGTTATATGAAAACAATGAATCATGGAACACTATATCAAAAACTAATGATGTAATGTATGGTGATTAACATAACATAATTAAAGATGCCAGATTTGATGATAAAATATTTCTAAGTTAACCATAAAAAAAAAAAAACACCCATCTGGAAAAGTTAGTGTGTGATTTCTCAAAAAGATAGTGTGTGATTTCTCTTTAGTTACCTATATACAGCTGCAATCTCTTTCTCAGGAAATTGTTTCTAAAGTTACTTCTTCCCCCTGACAACATGAATTCCTTTTAAACCTGTATAAGAATTCCATAAATCAAAGAAACCCTTTTTCTTCAATGTAATTTAAAGGTACCTTGATGGAGTGAAAATTGTGACAGAGGTATGCTAACTGACCTCAAAACTTGATCATGGCTCCCCTACTTCTCTGACCCCTTCCTGTTCTGCAGGCTCCTCAGCTTTGCTAAAGGCAATATGATCAGTTAGAAGTGCCCTGAGGAGGAATGAAGAAACACAGGATTTAGAATTTTAAAGAATTAGAGTGAAACTTGACAAATTTGAGTAAGTTCCTAGGGAGGACTAGATAGTTGGGGCAGATAATTAAAAATTTATAGTACCTGGTCAGTATAATTAGAGGTCTTTGCCTATATTACCTTTTGGAAAGCTATCAATCAAGCTCACTATAGAAATTACACATTTGGAATTTTTGGTTCGTTATTCTTTTTGAGATCTTATTTCTAGGATTGTCAGTAAAGTGATACTTTCGGTAGTGGGTCTAAAACTGAAGAGGACTCTCCTGCTGTAGTTATAAGCCAGGATACCCTAATTTAACTGATGACTTAATGAAACATTAACAGATATAGCAGTTACTGACTTTGTTGCAGATTTGTTGGAATTCCTGGACTATCTTTATAATTAAGCTTAATCAGAATAACTTATGTATTATGTACATGATTAAATCATACATGATATTTTAATGAAATCGCTGAAGCTTGGCATTAAGAAGCTAGTTTTAAGTGGTATCTTCACAATTTATTTTGAAGCTTCAGAAACCTGGTGTCTGCTAGAAATGATGACTTGTTTTGATGGTATTAGGGAATAATTTTCAAGAAAGTAGAAAATGAGTTTCATACAGGTATGTGAAATTCTTAACATGCTCATGTTATTAATGAAAGAACCAGGCACAGGTTAGAATCCAGAGAAGCGCACATTTTCATGAAATAAAGCAATACTGAAATGAACGCACATAGGCAAAACTGTTTCTCCCCACCCCCCCATGTGAGGGGTGTCAAACCTCCACTGGGCAGAGTGGATTTGCATCTTGATAGGCACGTATGATTTTGCATTGCTGTCAGTTACCTGTAACTTGGTGAATGTTGTAAAAGAGCTCAAAGGCAATGGAAGATTTCATTCAGATAATCTAGAAGGATTGTCTCTGAACAATACATAGTCTTACACTGAAGACATTCAGCATCTCTTGGTTCTCCTAAATTATAAAGGTTAGGATAGTGACCCAATAACCTTAGGTAATCCAGGTACTACTTCATGCCAACACTCTCACAGTGTTCTAAATTCTAATTGTAAAAACATAAGTGGAATTGAGACTTGGCATGGTAGTTGAAGTTCTTGTGTTGGTGGAAAGGAATGACACCTTCTTACCCTCTAGGCATTAAATTGCCCAAGACTGGTCTGAATTGGATAACATCCCAAGGCAAGAAAATGGTGAGCTTAGTCAGAGACACTAAAGCACTTGGTTTCCGTGACTTCTTTTGAACTAATTCTCCTTTGTTCTCTTAAATTGTGTTGTACAGATTCTTAACGGATTCTCTTTTCTCTTAGCTCTTAACTTTCAAGCTGTACCCAAAGGTCCCTTGCAGATTAAATCCTTTCCTGCATAAGGTAGACACTGAGGCAGCCCCTTGGAGAGCATACATGTTAAAGGGAACTGTGAAATTTTAACTTCTTGGTTTAAAAACCATTTTCAAATTGAAGATTACTTCAAAATACTAAGATGTCCCAAATTAAGGCTGAAAATTGAGTTATCTGCAAGCAGGAA